CTTCAGTGGGAAAAAAACTGACACGAAGCGGTCATACGATATGGCTAACAAACTTAATGCCGACGCCATTACTGACATATGCACCAAAAACGACAAAATCCTACAGCCTGTCTTTCCATAAGGCCACACTGGCCAAGTCAAAACATTGTACACAAAAAACAACGGCATGCAAGTAGAAGTAACTATGACATCTGCGCCAGCCAGCGATGCTATGAAAATGTTCGTTGTTGAACGCATGCCTCGGTTGATGATTACCGATACTATTACCAGAGAGTTTCCCAATGTTCCGAAGAAAATCGCCAATATGTTTGCGATGGACAATCCCACGACGGCACTTAAACTGGCACCGCTGTTGCTGTCTGAATTTTGATATCCAGTTAAATTGCTGGTTAAGTTTGTCTCAAGTGGAGTGCTGTTCAGAAAGTAATTCATTTTCCCTTATCCTTGTCTAATTCACTAAGATTCTAAACACACGATTAGCTGTTGGTTGGTTTCTTGTTAAGTGTTTCCCTCAGATGCTGTAGGTGCGACCCACCGCCAATTCAGAATTATTTCTGATCGAGGTAACCATAGAACTTGAGGAGGCTTAAGTTGAATCACCGAGTATCTACGAAGAAATAAGACAACTGAGTGAAAAGATAAGAACTCTTTCGCAAACGATCATTAGGGTTGAAAGGCCGCCATGAGACAAAAGTTGATCAGTGTTTTCTACCTCCCACGGGAAGTATTTTTCTCAGACAATCAGGCGCCATGCACATTAACAGGACAATTTTGCACACCAAAAGCATCCTGAATTTACAGTCATCTGCTAAAATGTAATTAAAAGACGTCTATTGTTACATCACACTTTTTGAGGTTAAGCCACGAAAAATAACTGATAAAAAAAGAAACTTTTAAATACGCTTTTAACCGCCTTGAACTACGTAAATGAGCTTAAATTGGAAAGATAAGAGTTTCGAATATAAGAATATTCAGCTTTATTTTGGTTGAATTGTCAGTGGAAGGCGACATTATCAACAGTTTATTTACCATTCTCCCACAAACACAATATTCTGAGCACGTAATAGAATGGTCCTTGCTGTCACCGGCATGTGCTCTAAACTAGTTATCTCGAAAAGGAAAACAATCATTCCTTGTTAATGGCCCTTAGAAAATAGCGCTTGCAGCATGATAAACACAGCAATATGTTTATGCTTTTTTACCCCTAATAACAAAAAAAAAGTTGTGAATAAAACGACCAGATCTCCCTAACAGGTTTGCTTCGAGTTGCGTTCAAATGAGCCTTGAAATAGAGGAAGTAGGTTTAATGATATAGGAGCCTTGATTATCTTTACTTTGGAAGGTCGTCGGTTCAAACGTTCAACTAATCACATTTATTTTTTTTAGTATGGAACTTCGAAGGCTGATTTGAAGGCCAGTCCACGAGACCCCAATAACTACGCTTTTACATCTGCTCAATATAAATTTGTAAATGGTATGGTCAGTATTTGTATCTACTATGCAAAGTATCGTGTAAGGTAAGTCCCGCAACTGACAAAAAATTTAAAGGTTGAATGAGTTTATTCATCATGACTTACCAAAACCTAAGCTGTAAAAATTCTACATAAATTAGGGATTTGTCTAATTTGCGGAGATTTACCATCGAATGAATGAAAGATGCCCGCTGAGGATTGTTCTCCAAGAAATCGAAGAAATTATTAATTCTGTTTGGGAAGTATACCAAACGTCAACAGGAAAACAATTTCCTGACATCCTTTGTCACCAATTCTAGTCTACCGTAATGAAAATCACAATGAAAAACCGAAAAGAAGTTAAATTTATAACTGAGGTCGGACTTCAAGTCTTTGATCTTTTCAGAAGTAATGAAATACAACTGCACCGAAAAATAATTTTAGCATGTGGGAAAATAAAAGGTTTTAATACCTCCTGACGTACGAGATCGCTGACAGATAGGCAATATTATTGTTTCACGCTGATTCAATGGAAATTCTCATTGTTTTAAAGCTTAAAAAGCCTACCGGTGAGACTGAAGGGAAATCTCCTATTAAGTGAATATAAAAGCAAATCTCTTGGCTTTCTTTGACACAAACATGACGAAATTTATCCAGCACAAATCAAAATTCAATAGTCGCGGAATAATAATTACATAAGTAGAAAAGAGACATGACTTTTGAGGGGATATGGTTCTTAACGTTCATTTTCGATTATGCTTATTAAGAGGTTAAAGATAGTAAACGTATCAGCCATAACAAAGTTACTGAACAAAATATTCAGCGAAAGTTCGTTGTAGGTGACTGAAATATCATTTTGTTTTGTACAGAGAAAGATTACATGAAAGATGAAAACGAAGAAAAATTTTCTTTGTGATCATAAAAAAGTGCTTAAATCTGAGAGCATCTTTTCATTTCAGTTTAAAGATTTATCAAATTCTGAATCTAAAATAAAGGAAAATAAGCTTGTACCTGTGTCACGCTGCCCGCCACCAAATGCCTCAAAGAGACTTTAGTGAAGTAATGGCGTTCTTAATCAATAAACCAGAGTGACACTGAAAACAAGATGCATCTGGCTTTTTTAGTCTTTTTCTGCACACATATGTTCACCTCACTGAATGCTCAGCACGCTAGGATTTCCTTTAACAACTTTTCAAAAGGCAACCTGACAGGTGAAAACTGCAATATGACGTCACTATTCGAACTCCGCCTGTGTGATGGACTACCGCACCGCCTTGTTGGCAGGTATATGTTGTCAATCATCTTCCACCCTATTGTCGTAAAATATTTTATCACTCCTCTTCACTGCGTGAGTCAAAATTTTACTGAGATACGTACTCTTTGCGTTGGTTGTGTTTACTCTTAAGCCTTAACATTGCAACTGTGTAAGAAAGAAACAATTAACGTATTTGAGGGCGCTGCCAGTATGGTTCCATCTCCATGTCCAATAAAGCCTGATAACTTGCACTTAGAGATAAGCTAGGCGAAAAAAATTATCTTTGCACATTAATATTGGATTGGAGTAGAATAATGGAGTTGTTTAACATGTTCGAAGATATAGTAATATAAGTAACAAAAGCCAGTTGTAAGTGTTAGTTGTTAAGTGTACGTGCTAATTGCCAGTTAGAAGCGTCGAATGACAGCTATTTTCAATGATGCTTTCAACAAGCTCAATATCTCTATGTCAGAAGAAAGCTAGTCACAAATATTTTGACATAGCAACAAAGTCAACAAATCGAATAAGATCCATGGTAAGTCCTTATCCCAGAGCGAAAAAAAAACGAATATTACATTTAAAAAAAATGGTCCGTATTTGTAGATAAAGAGTCCCCGTAATCAAACGATTACTGTTATGGAGAATGAATTTCTGGCTTCCCTCTCAGTACACCGATAAATGGGTGATTGACCGCCGACCGCGGTCTAGAAGTTCCCAAGTTCCATTAAATGGTTTACAGGTAACATAACTACCTGAATCTTCCCTTCAACTTCTTTCTTGCCATACCAATATTAATCACTACAGCTGTAATTCAAGAGGAGCTTAAGACTGTGTACAATACCTATACCCCTAAAATACAGTTCTAGTCCTCAAGTGAAGTGTTGTTATTGTTATTATAATATTTCTTCATTAGACATTCGGTAAAATGGGAAATTTTTACTTCTAATGGATTTTTCTACTAAGTGAGAATTAAAGATGTCATTGGCGGACCTTCCTGTTTACTATCACGACTCCATCCTAAGTTACATGCGCTTTTCAGATGTAAATTGGAAACAAAACGAAATGGATCAGCTGGATTGTGAAATCGCGTACCGTTCAATTGTTCCGATCACGTACAAAGATCTGCAAAACTAAATTGACAGCAAAGACAACATACCTAGGTGTTGCATCGAGTTGAAGAAAAAATTATTAGAGAAATTTGAAATGTAAAGAAAAGTATTAAAATTTGTGGAAACCACTTTTCTTAATTCGTTTTCACCCCGCATCCACACAAAAGAATGAATATTCGGTTAAGAATATATGAAAGTCATATATTTGAACTGCGGATAAAGACGTGAATGAAAGTGATCCTCTCAGTAATGTCACTAATAGTAATAGGCAGTAGTGAAAATAAGGCCTGAAAAAAATTCAGGCCTGTACAGGATTTGAACCCATAACCTCTGCGATACCGGTGCAGCGCTCTACAAACTGAGCTAACAAGCCAACTGGGAGCTGATCATGATATTGGTTCTAAATAAACCCGTGAAGTGATGACGGTTAAGAATATATGAAAGTCATATATTTGAACTGCGGATAAAGACGTGAATGAAAGTGATCCTCGCAGTAATGTGCACTACTTAGGCAGTAGTGAAAATAAGGCCTGAAAAAATCATTATTTAGAACCAACATCATGACCAGCTCCCAGTTGGCTTGCTAGCTCAGTTGGTAGAGCGCTGCACCGGTATCGCAGAGGTCATGGGTTCAAATCCCGTACATGCCTGAATTTTTTTCAGGCCTTATTTTCACTACTGCCTAAGTAGTGCACATTACAGCGAGGATCACTTTCATTCAAGACTGAATATTGTCCTCTTTCACCACTAAGGAACTTTCGGTAATTTTTTCGGACCAAAAATTTAAGTATTTCTGATCTTAGGTTGATTTTGTCCTCTGATCAACGTGTTGACTTCAATCGATAGAATCGACTTTGAACTTTGAAGAATTCGTACTCTGTCAGTGTGAAAAATTTCCCTTGAAATTTACTCTGACCTTGACATAGACCCCTGTGTGGTTTTCACAATCACATCAAGAAGTGGCAAACTTTTAGTAAGGGTTCTTAGCCACCTTACTTTTCGAAAACATACGGGTTTTGTGAATACAAAGGATCAAGGGCTGCTACGTCAGGAAAAGGTCTTATCACTGAAGGTTCTTGAACCAACTAATCCAGATAAATACTGAAAAGCACAAAGCTTATACCTTTACTATCATTAATTTATTCACATATATTCAATAATCGATTATTACACTAAACGTTGACAATTTACAGCTTAACAGTGTAAGGAAATAACATTTTCTGTGTTATAAGGAACCTTCTATTATCTCTATGTTGGGGACAGCTCTCAGGTTGAACTACTATGAAGCTTTAGGGCCATCTCCTGTTTAAAATGAAAAGGTAAAACAGTTAAGTTAGAGAATTTTATTTTCTAGCATTAGATCATTTGCACGCGGGTTAATTTCGCCGCTCGTGTCGCAGCGCTAAGAAAAGGCAGCTCTCAAGCTGTGTGAAGTATCATGTTTAATAGTACAGTGTATGTTCCACATCATAAGATGATCATGAGATTGTAACACACCCAGTCGTCGTTGTATGATTGTCCACATACCCTGTGGGGATTTTTGAATGAGTGACATGGGAAACATGAGGAACTGGTGGAACAAAACTTGAATATTGTCTGGTCGGTAATTTAAATCGAGATAGACCTAGATTATTATCTACAGATCTGAAAGGCGACTGATGAAACATAATCCCAAAGTTCATTGAAAACTATACGCAAGTTACTGACTTTTCTCTAACCTTTGTAAGCGTATTCCAAAGCACTTGCTATGGCTGTCATGTCAGCCTCTATTACTCTTGACCAGTTTTCCACGTCGCCAAGTTCCTTTAGAACAAATATACTGAGCATGAAAAGAGAGTCTTATTTGACAGGGCTTCTCGGCGAGACTACATTTCTGAATTGGAGGGGTGAACCTCATTCAAAAAGAGTCTTGTTTTAATTTGCATCACATTTGTTAGTATGAATCATGCGATAGTTGAAAGAACCTTTTGCCTCGTTTTGTGCATTCGTTGCATTAGAATTTGAACATTGGTACAACGTAAGTGTGCTTTTATCCAAAAACCCTGCCTTGATAGGAGCCCTGACTTTGAACATACAGAGAAAGAAGCTAATTACCTTTAAAGCCTTATTGAAAGCCTCCAACATCTGAAGCCATTGTACTGTCTGTTTAGAAAATCTTGCTGAGGAGAATATCAAAGGGCGCAAAATTTGACATCAAATAGGGAACAGGTTGTCTCTGAGCCTACACCAAAACATAAACATTGAGGGCTACAAGCATGGATCAATCCTGGGTCCACCAGAATACAAGTCCAGTCCCCTAGCCACTCAGAAACAGCCCATTCCTTGAATCCTTGTTTGAGAAAACCATAGAAGCTTCTCTAGGTCTACCACGAACATTTATAACATACTGTAGTGTTGTTCCTTCTGGGAAACATATTAGGGGATACTGCAGTCAATCGCAGACTTAACTAACTGGCCAATAAATTTAATATTAATAAACGCCACTATAAGTTTGCTTTGAGTTTGAAATGTCTTGCATCTAGCTGTTAGATGTTTCTTGCAAGTCTCAACATCACGACACCATTTTGATTTTATTTAAGATCTTGAACAGTACAAAGACAAAACACATTGGACCTCACAACTCACAAAACATAACACACCATCTGGAGTATTTCCAAACCTGCATGAGCTTGTAACTGCTTGGCCTCTGTTTCTAATTTGCGCTGATTGACATAAGCTTGTTCTACACTGTGGGAAGTAAAACAATTCACCTTTTTATTACATTAATAAAAAGGTAGAATGTTAAATAAAAGCCAAAATTATGCAATCCATGAATAAAACTACTTCCAGATAGAAAGCTTCCAGAAAGAAAGTAATATTTGTCATTCAAATCAATGGGAAAATGGGGAAAGGAAATCAAACCTGCCATTTACATTTCATTTTCAAAATAGTCAGTCCATCTCATCAAAGATTTAAAACTAATCTAGGATCTAATGTGAGGAGAGATGGAAACCTTAAAGTAGGAGAAAAAGTGTGTTCAGTGATTTTGTCAAGCCGAAGATAGTTAAAATAACAATCCATCTTTTCATCCTAATTTATTTTCCTTTGAAATAACCTTTTTAACCTTTCACATCCCAAACTCAGTAAGCACATTCTCCATATGTTCTCTGTAAATTTCCCAAGGTACTGAAGGGGGGAATTTGTTTAAAATCAAGAGCTAATCTTTAGTTGGCAGTCAATTTTTCAAATTAACTTAATCCTGGTAAGGAAACTGCCTCTAAAGCAGCTGAAGTACACCACACTGCAATAGCCAATCTTAGTTTCACTGAGGATAACCCAACAATTCTCCTAATAGAGGAGAGGCACTGAAAAAGTAGAGTGCTTTGCCTAAGAAAACAACACTGGAACACAGCCAGGACTCAAACACAGACCTATAAATTGAGAGTCCATTACATCTCCCAAAAGCAAAGTGGGGCCAACAACTTCGCATGCTAAACAACCAGCTATATGTGCATAAAAGTTGAGGTCATTCAATGTGTTACAATAATGGTAAGCAATCACTGAGCAAGCCAAACAATGTTTAATCACTTACCCAGTGTTAAGAGTGTCCATTAGTTTGTATGTTAGTCTTGAGGATGCTACCACAGCTTCTCGTCTTAAGTGTTCTACATCAATGACAAAATAAAAAACACTGAAATAACACCATAATATATTATTTGTTTCTTTAAATGAACAGGTACTCATGAAACAGGGTGACTTCAGACGATTTCTTTCAGAGAGATATATCTCTAGTAAAGGGGAAAGACTGTAATTTTGTAAACTGCAACTTAAGTTTTCATTTTCTGTACCTTCCTTCCTTCTTTTACATGTACCTTGCAGCTACAACCAGTTACAAAATGTTGAGAGTCACCTTGAGCAAAAAGTGCACTTAACAACTTCATCAGATGGCCAAAAAGAACTTTAGTGCAAAAAAACTACTAGCTGCCCCCTTCCTGACTCATCAAGGTTTTGTACATGGTACTGTTTAGCTACCAACATTAGAAAGGGGGAAATAAATTATGTTGAATCACATGGTGAACAATTGTCTCTTTTCCTGTCATGGTAACATGTCTCAACTACTTTTGCAGCTGGTTGTAGCAGTACACCTTTGTATGGTACTGCCCATCTTGTACAGCCCTCAGGCTTTTTGTCTTATGTTTTTCAATGAAAACATGTCCAGGACTATACTGGGCATTTGAAAATATTATTGACTGGCTGGCTACTGACAGCCTCTTGGACTAAGTATAAAGGCTTTCAATACATCTTTCAGGTTTTCAAGCAACATTATTAGCAAATAACATGGAGCAAACCTTTAAATTAAATGTAGCTCCTTACAAATATTTAGCAATTATTCTAAATAGACAGTAGTGCTGAGTCACCATAACTAAACTTGTATCCAACAAGTGTGAATAGAATAATTGTCTTTAAGTTATTAAATTTCATCAAATCCTGAATGTTTGGATATTTGGAGCCTTTTCTCAACTTGGCAACCAATGGCACAATGCATTCCCATATGAGATGAATCAGAATATCAGCTGATAACCACAGTTGGGTGAACAAATCAGACCACTAGAGATGCAAAATTCTGAGTTGAAAATTAAATAAATCACAATAGCAATCAATAGCTATTTGGACATCAAAACTTAGGGATCTTGATGAACATTTCTGACTCCTCCCTTTTCTTTTAGTGTTCCTTTGTTGACATAACATCCTGAAATGGCCATATAAAGCAAGTCCCTTGAAAAGGAAACTCTACCAAAAGAAACAGTGCTACCAAAAGGTAAAACCACTGAACAGCTTCTTCAATTGTATGCAAACCAAATGGCTGTATTTCTTAGCTCTCTGACATTTCCTACTTTTCACATTTATTAATCCTCTCAACTCTCAAGCAATCACTTGCAATTGGCTGCTATGCTGTAAAACCACAGCTGGTGGTTTTGTCTGTGAGACAAATTGACTTTGGGGTGCCCCAGACACTGCAGTTTTGAACAAACCTTTGCAGTTAAAAGCCACGAACAACACTACGACCTGTCTAAATGAGCGAAAATAAAATTTTGCACCAGCAACATAGAGGGAAAATTCAAACGTCATTTCTCCTACTTCCAAATTCGATGAAATCTGCACAGTTTAGCAAAATGGTTTGTATTCGTCTTTAACGCCGCTTCCAGAAACTACAGGAAACTGTTACTTGTTTTGGAAACTTAATTACGTTTCCTTAATCAGAATATCGACTTACATAGAATATGAACGAAAGATTATTAATTAGTTTTAATGTACATCTGAACGTATGCAAGGGCCAGCAATTCAGTTGCAAAAAAGTTGCTCACGAATGACAAAACCGAAGAAATTTCGGTTGCTTTGTGTGAAAATAAGAATACCTTGTTTTTCCCGTTGAACTGCTTGATTCGCTTGATGTTCTTTCAAAGCACGCGAGAGCATTTTAGTCAGATTTCCTTCGGTTCAAAGCGCGAAGTTCTGTAATGAAAACAGTAAATGCATTGCATGTCCTCGTACACAGCAAACTACCAGGAGACACGTCATGTACGTAGAAGTATATTGTACCACAATCCGGAAGACTTTCCCGTTGCCGTGTCACACACAACTGACCAATCAGATTTCAGGACACCAGCGGTATATAATATATCATCTGAATAAAGGGGTAGTTTCCGTAGAAACTGTGGTGCTGCGTCGGTGGGAGTGTATTTCAAGGTAGTTTGGTATTATCAACTCAACTGGCCACCGTTGAGAGTTTGAAGCTGACGTTTCGGGCGTTAGCCCTTCGTGGACTTCGTCCGAAGTTAGCTTTCAAACTTTTTAAGGTTACTTCCCACTTTCGCGGGTGTCCTTCAGGAAAAACTCGTACACGCGCTAGTTTCTTTAAAATCATAGCAAACTATACATCAGGAGAAGGCTTACTAACTGCAGTTTACGACAAAAATATAATTTAAGCGACCTTTCCTTTAAGGAAGTTTCAGGAGCCGGCAAGGCGTGAAACAACTGAGGGTTCTTCTATTGAATTTTTTATCGGGTATCGGATGCCGCAGCACGAGCACGAGCAAAGCCCATTTTAGCGAGTTATCCATTTCTAGGTTTACCAAGTACATAAGAGAAGCCCTCTTATGTATCTTTTACTTGTTCCTAAAGAGTGAAATTTGACGAAAAACGGTCAAATCTTAATGCCTTAAAATTTCGCTCCAAGTGGATGTATTCCTCCCTAAATCAAATGCGAGATTTTAGCTCATAAAGGTTTGTAAATAACTCACGCTACGCCAGGAGATTATGTCGCCTCCTGAAACCGCAAACCAATGGGACAACGTGACCTCCTGGGGTCAATGACGATGATCAAGATTTCCCGGGAAAAATAATCCATAGCAGAGACATCTTTTTATCTTGATCGCTCCGTGGAGCGTTGAGGAGGACGACACAATAATGGGCAAGGTTGCCAAAGGCAAAGGAAAAACCCGCCGTAAAAATGGAAAAACGGAAAATGTGCTTATAGGCAAGACAACGGATCGACAGACAGCTTTCAAAAATACGATTTGTATCAAGGCCGGCACTTACATAAAACATAGGCATGCGTAGCACGCAAGACTTATTTTTTTAGCTGGGTAGCTCGAGATGGGACTCTTTCTGTTCCTAGTATTTTCATAACTTTCAAAAGAACGAAAATATCGCACTATTTCGCTTTAAGAGAAAAGAAAAGCCTAATATATCTAGACTCGCATATGTATTTTGTGGTATGTTGTCTCTATTGTCTTATAATTCTGAGTAAAAATAAAATGCATTAGTGCCACGCTCACTGTGGCTTCCTTCGCAGCCGTTGTTTGATCTTGTCGCACAACGCCCAAATGTTACTCTTTGGAGAGTGAGCGCGTTGCGTGACGAGACCAAATAACGGCTGCGAAAGAGACTACGCTTACAACCATTCCTTTAATAGAGAGAAAATCAAAATTATTCGTCTTCAATTAGTCGCCTCAAAAATATAAATCCACGTAATTTTACAACGAAAAGCAAACTGAAACTCTGTTGTATCTTCAATAGACCCTATTAAAAAATATACTGCGATCTCGAATATGTGAAGATACACTGAGCAAGAGAAAAGGATAATATTTCAAAGAGGGCTCCTTGATTGGTTGTTGCCTATCTGAACTTTGCCTTCTCTGTAAAAAACGTGATTAAATGCAGGTTGTTTACATGGAATTGACTCGCAATAGGGTTAAGTCCAAGACAGCCAAAAAACGAATTTTATTTGTAGAAAAAGTCAAAACGCGGGAAAGCCGCGATCAGTATCATTTAATTCCCATCTGATTTTTTTCAGTGGGGTTGGATAACACGGTTAGAATACGTGATAAACTGCAGGTTGTTTACCAAGAAATGGCACGTGATGAGTATAGGTCTAATGTGGCAAAGTGAAATTTGAGTGGTAAAGTAAAATTAAAAAAATGGCGTAATGTTCATGTAGTGCAATGATTGGGTATGTTCTGATTGGACTTTCGAGGTTTTTTTCATAGTACGTGATGGAATGTAAGTTGTTAGGCCTGTGTGTTTTTAGAAAAGGAGCGGAAAAACACGTTTTAACTTAAAATGATACAAAAAGTTAAATGCAAACCTTTCATATCCTGATAAAGCTCGATCGCAATCGACGAGGCTCTTGCGAAGGCCATAACCATCACACTTACCAAATGAGCCCAAAATTTCTGGTTAACGTCATTCTCTGTGCACAGCTCCCTTATTCCATAACATAATTAAAAAAAAGAAAAAATTCCCAAACGCTGTGATTAGTGCAAGATATTCAAATGCTGTGATATGATTGGTGCGAAATACATACGCTAATGCAGCAATCTGATTGGTCCGAGATACACACCCTAATGCGGCAATCTGATTGATGCAAGATACATACTCTAATGCGGCGATCTGATTTGCGCGAGAAACGTACCACTCTACACGCTGTAGAGTTGTTGTTTGTTCCTTTTTTTTATAAGTACGAGATTAAGACACCTTCCTGATTTATTAAATTTTATTTGAAAATACATTTTTCTAAATAACTCGGGTGCTTTGAAAGATTTCAGAATATATTTTTCTTGGAAACGCTCGGAAAAATGTTTGAAGTCAGTGTAGTCAAATAAAAGAAAAAAACGATTTTTTCGGCCTCTGAAGGTGGAAAGTAACCTTCGTCTTTGTTTTACTTGGAGTACTAATAGTTTCAAAAATTAATCTTCTCCAAAAATAATGATATATTATTTCGTTGTGTACAATTATGTTGCTTTCGCGTTAAAACACACCTGGAAAATTTAACTTTAACTCATCAGGATATCAGCGTCTTTTAACTGTTACATCATCACAGATGAACAAAGGAAAAAAGGAAAACATACAAGTACCCTTGAGCCGGGACTTCTTGTTGTTCAGAAATCACGTTAGCTTTGCCCTAAATGAATCTCCACGAAATGAAAAAATTGAGAAGACTTGTTCCCAGTCGTTGCTAGGAAAGGCTTGGGTAGAGCGTCCACAGAGCATCAACAGAGTCTACATGCTCCCGGTATACCCCGCGTTCTTGACGATGACATCGTTTCTCTGACAAGTAACACATAAGTAAAGCTTGGGCGGGTTTCTCACACCAGCAACATGTAATATCAAAGCATTCTCATCTCAGCTGTCATCACACCTTCGGTTTGGCATGAATTTTGTGAAAAATGCTGTTAAACTTGTTGTCAGGAAAAAGCAACTCCAGAATACCTTCACACAGTACATAGAGAAGACGCTTGTTTAGGCTGCAGTACTGAAAGGTGTCGAACACACTGTAAAGGAAAGGAACCACTTAGATAATGAACTGTTCAGAAAGCCAAGGACTGAAAATTACTTCATGATATTTCAAATATACAAGATGAAATCGAGTCGAAAAAGAAATTGGTGCACTTGTAACTTGATTCTTCAAACAGCAATAAAGTACCACCATCGTTAAAAATTTCTCATGGGTAAACCTGAAGTAATAGCATGCACTAGGTTCCTGAATGATAAAATGCTCCTTTGTACTGGTCAGCATTAAGCATCAAGCAATAAAATTCAAAGCCCAGTAAATCGCGTGAAAAAAAGAACTGCTTTCAATAGAATCGGCGTACCACAAGTTTGAATTCATAAAGAAGAAGAGAATCAAACATACCAACAAACTCCTTCCATTGTTACTTCTAAACCAAGGAAACGTTTAAGTTCCTCTGTGAAAAATTATTGATAACATCAACGGTAATTAGGTATTGTATAAGACAGTGCAAGATAAATTTTTTTTAAATTCGGTGCGAAGAAGAGAATATAAACTCTTGTCCGCAGACATTACCTGTTGTGGGAAGCAAACAGTTTTCCTTAGGCTTCGCTCTCGGAAAACTGCGAACTTGAAGGGACAAATTACGTTCGGCGATGAGGACAAATCCAGTATTTCACGCTAAACTTGCTTTTTTTTGGTTTAAGAATTAACCCAAGGACTAATGTTGTTTGGGGTTTTCTTTGTGCAAGTTACCACTTTCTAGGCTCAAAAAAGCGGATGCGCGACATAATGTGGAAGAGAAGAGCGTTGTGGTTTGACCGCTCTTTCGCTCGTATCCACTGTTTGAGAGCCAAAACACAGAGTAAAACTGAGGGACGCGAAATACAAAAGTAAATCTGTCGGCAAAGCTATAAAAAAAATTACTGAATTTGTCTTCCGTGACTTTAACGAACCAGTCAGGTATTGTGGACCCCAAACAGCCCTTGAACCTAGGAATTGCTTAACAAACTGAACTCTTTGCCTTGCTCACCGGGAATACTCCCGAAAATCTTTGTTTTAGCAGCCACTCGTGTCCTAATCTTGACATCTTTTTTTCTTTCTTGGGAAGCTTCGGCTAAAATTCCACCAGGCCAGTAGGAGTCTCTGAAACACATCAAACACACAACTAAATTTAATTGGCTGTAAAGTACAGCTGCTGTTTAGTCGTAGTTAAGTTCTTGCACTCGTTTTTAAACACGTCGAATCCAAAGACCTCTTCGATCAAATAGGTTTTTGGTTTTTATCTTTTTTCACCTACACTCGGAACAAAGAATAAGGAAGTGGTATAAAAGGTATCCAACAGACAGGCCACAATTTTTTTTTGTGAGGCTATGTGTAAGCAATTAAACGAAGATGAAACACAGTTGATCCCAATGTACATTTATACTAACGGTGCCATCACTGAAACAGAAAAGGGGCACTTATCGGAATGAGGGTGCTAACTCAATAGGGGCGTTTATTAATAAAGACAAATTTGAGGGGGGCGCTTGTCAGACAGGGGGCGCTTATTGGAAGGAGGGCGCCAAAACGAATCATTACGGTATCTCTCTATTGCAGCATCAAAATTATTGCGATCAAACCAACCAGACTATGTATTTCAGTCGAACTCTTGGAGAAGGGTCTGTCTGGGGCAAAAGAGTTTGGGTCTAGGGACCGTTACGACGGAACATTTTCCAAACTATCATAGCCAAAACATCAATTAACATTTATCCATTTATGCTGACGATCACTACATTTACGAAGGTT